AAGAAATTTCAACTATTCTTGAATGTGTCACATCATTTGAAAATGGAATTGCCTCAAGTTTTTTTTCTCTGTTCCAATCTACAAACTAATTCAACCATCTCCAGCGCACATGGCTTAATTAACGTCTCTCCAATAGTATGCGGTTTCTTGCTTTTAGCAATATGATATGCAACTTTGAGAGATGCCTCAACCAGAGGTTTTTGTGGAATACCAAATCCAAGTTTGTCTAATGTTCCAGATTTCAAAAACTAGGCTCTCTTCTTAGTAAAAAATTCTAGCTCTAGTAACCTGAACAAGGTGTCAAATGTACGTAGCTTGATAGGGGATAACAAAAATAGTACAGCGGACGTCATCAGGGGGTTGCCCCTGATGTTGCAAATTGTAAGTGGAGGATGTTAAAAATATGACAGGGATATTAGAGGGCTGTGGGCAGTCCGTACTGAATTTGGGGTATCTCGATCACCTAGTTTCAAATATGTATGTATTTTCACCTTTTAGAAAGAAAAAAAGATCAATGCTATTTCAATATTATTGATCCAAACGTTTTAAAAATTAGGAGTAGTCGGTGGACCCCCAAAATATGACCCATGGACCCCTAAGGGGTCCATGAACCACAGGTTAAGAAACACTTCTCTAAATGCTAAGCCCCTTATACTTACAAATTTGACCATTGCAATAACCCGTTTTAGGACATTGTGATAATATTCTGTTTCTTTTCTTAATTGGTTCTGAAGCTGCTTGTCTAAAACAGATCTGTTTTCTTTTAGTGTCAACCACACTAACATTGATTTCTTTATGTTCATTAGAATTTTTATGCTTTTCTAAGCAAGCTCCTATGTGTTTCCAATCAGAAAATCCGGTTGTGTATTGAGAAGGGATTTTAGAAAAAATTTGCAAGTCAGACAAAAAACAGTACCAACCATGGTTGAATAACATAACCAAGATTTTTCCAGTGATTGACCCTTTTTCATTTTAATGGAATACCTATTTGAAAATGTTCTGTTTTGTTCTTTGTATTTCTTTATTAAAACTGAAAAAATATTTTTCGGATCTTTATTTCGAAAGTCAGCCATTTCATGTGAGAAAATGTCATTAATAAAATCATTATTTAGAAATTCTGGCCACAAGCCCACGTCAACATATTTCTCAGACTTAATATTCTCTAAATTTCTTTCCACCTCGGTATTACCGTCCTCTTGCTGAACACCAATATAGTTTTCAGTGGGATCAGAGGGTTGCTGGTAGTCAAGACTTGGCACATTTTCATCACTTGTATTTTGTTCCTGGTGTTGCGATTTTCTGCTCCCTTCAAATAGATTCTCTTCGGATAAGTTCCCTTCCTTTTCACTTGTTAATAAATTTGTAGCTATTTCATTCTCGTTTTTACGTTTTAATTTGAAAAAAAATTTCAATTTTTGCACATTTCTTTCTTTCCTTTTCTCGATCTAACTGTAATTTCCGTTTCTCAGCTCCACTTTTATATTTTCTACCAGACATATTATAAAATAAGACTTTGATATTTTTCTGAAAATTAACAATGAACTTGATAATTTTCTGGTAATAAGCAGGGAACGAGATAATCTATGTAATATTGTTCTTCACGTCACATTTTAATACTTTGTAATGAGTGCAGTAATTCGTAAATTATCATTGAAAATCGATTAAAAAGTTCATTTAGTATTGAAAAAATACATTAAAAGCAAAAAAAAAAAACATGATTTATTATTCTTTTTACTTACCAACTAAGAGCAGGAAATCTTTTCTTATACTGATTATGTACTTTCAATTATAAGTAAAATAAGAGAAAGGTCCGGTCTTTATAACTTTTAAGTTATCATTCATTAGTAAACTAAACAAGTTTGTCCCTTTGACGACAAGAACAGAAGTGCGGAAGAAGAAAAAAATTACGTCGGGCGTTAAGCGGCGTGGCCCCCGTAATAGACGCGAAAAAATACACTGACCAAAAACAAGCGACGGGGAATTCGCCGTTCCGTTCGATAGACGCGCACATGCGTGGGTTGATTGATCTCAGGGTTGCCAACCTTATTATAGTTTTTTTTTTAATATAAGATATTTTTTTTAATTCAAAATATCACCTATTGTTTTCAGTGGGGACTGGGGCCCTTTGTATCCACGGGGCCCTGGGCTGCAGCCCAAAGAGCCCATACGTAGATCCGCCCATGTGAGGCGCAAACATAAACAATAAGATGCGAAAGGAAAGACAAAGTGTTAATTGACAAGTGTAATATTTACACTTGTCAATTACAATAACTATTCAAAATTGCATCCACCTGTAGTGATACATGCTTGACAGTGTCGGTGAAGCTTTTTTTTCCCCATAAAAAAATCGAGGTCGATAAATCGGGAGATCTGGTTGGTGAAGGGACTGGTTCACTACGACCAATCCATTGCGCCTCTTGCGTGGCATTCAGATAAGTGCGCACATTAATGCTGAAGAGGGCTGGTTTCCCGTCATGCTGAAACCACATGTGGTTACGAATCTCGAACGGAACATCCTGCAGTAGTTCTGGATTCCAGAAAAATAAGATAACATGCGTCATTAAGTCGCGTCAGACAGGGTTAGTCCTACGTCATCAACGACGTCACTAGCTCTCTTCGTTCCAAACTTTGTTTTGAACGGAGCAAACAATATGGCGTTTCTCATGTAGTTAAAAGTGGGTCAACTAAATCTTTGAATATATTAATATAGAGTCGAATTTAACCACTGAAATGGCAAGAAAAAGTGTTGCATATATTAATATTATGTTAATCTCTTTTTATGATATTAATTGAAGTAGCTTATTAATTGTAAATGATTATGAAAACTTTTTATATGTATGATTGGGAGAATTTGTAATTAATATTTACCATATAAATTGTAGTTATAATATGGAAATCGGAAATTTGTGCATCTTATTATTTGGAAAATGTTATTTCTAATTTATGTTTAATTTTTCTTAAAATATGTATATTATATTAAATAAATTTTTTTTTATAATATTGAGACAACTTATTAATTGTAAATAATAATGAAAATTTAAAAACAAATTAAAAAGTTATGTAAGGAGCATGAATAAAGTCAGATAAGTTAGTGAAAATTATAAAGCATTTAAGATACACGTTTTTAAAATAGTAAATTTACCAATAAATTTGAGCTAAAATGATAGGAAGTAAAAAAAAAAAATTTATGTAAACAAAAGAGTTGACAGGTCTTAAAACATATTTACAACCAAATTATGAAATAAATTTGGATGACTTGAATGTTACGTTCACTATAACAAATAAAATATTACTATGAAGGTAATTTAAAAAATTTTGATTTAGAATGTCAAATGCAAATTTTATTCTATAAAAAGTGATAACAGTAACATTTTCCAAATATAAAATCTGTATAACTAAATATGTATACATGCATTAAAGAGTTAAGTTTCTAAATTAAAAAATTTCTTAAAAATTTGAATTATCTTTATTTGAAATGCATGCGAAATTAATATTATTAAATAAGTAAAATTTAAACACCTATGTGAATACATAGATTAATAAATATGAATGTTAAATAAAAGTTTATGTATGGGATAAGTATGTTTTAAAGAATTCTAAAAAAATTCATGTTGCACTTTCTTATCGAATAAAATAGGAATCTGAGATTTTAAGATAAATTCATATATAACACCTAAAAAAAATTGTTCCTCTCACATTTTAAAATGAAAATTAGAAATTTAAAATTCTAAAATAATTTAGCTATTCTATATATTAAAATTCTGGAAACTATACATAGTATTGACCCTTTTAACATAACACTACACTGCACTATCATAACACTACACATTAACATAGCACTACACTAGTAACGTTAAGAATAATCTAATATTAATTATCTAATAATAAGGTATCTTAATTTTCTCAAAAAATTAATGCATAAAACTATTGTTAAAAACTAATTAATGATGATGTTGACAAATATAAACAAGAAAAAATCTCAAGTCAAAATAAATCTCAGTTTAAACAAAAACTCTGTGCATATTTAACAATATGTATACATATTAAATAAGTTAGTAACACAATTTATTCCTATTTAGTTGTTAGAAACTAAAGCTAATGAGAATTAGCAGCAATAATCAGAAATTCTTAAGCAAACAAAGTTTACAATAACTACAAATTTAATCATCAGATATAATTAAATAAACAGACATTAGTATTGATAAATACAATCTAATTATAGATTAAAAATTACAAAACGTTTTAAAACAATGCATGCCTATCTATAACTAAAGAAAAAAATAATATTTAGATCAAGAATATGTAACAAATTCTAAATAAAATAAGACATTATTATAAACATAAAACAAGAGTTAAAAATATTGACGCTTAAATTTTAATACATCAAAATTAAAGATAAATTGACCATTTTGAAACTTTTTTTTATAGCATTTAATGCACTTAACTCGTAAAATCTACTGATACCCCGTATAAGGAAAACTACTTAAATTAGGAATAAGTCCCTTAGAAGCGCTATATAAATTTATTTATTTCAATAATAAACTAAAAATCTTGCCGTCTTAAATTTACATAGGAAATGCCATTGAAATGGTTCGTTCGAAAAAATGTTTGGAACGCGTTTGGAAGGAGGCGGGGTTTGACGTCATAAAATACGTCATCACTGTCCCTGTCCTCCAGCCCACACATTCACACAGAATCTTTGTTGATAATCATGTGGTCGCGTTGCATTGGGGTCTTGGTTTTCCGCACGTGGGAATTGGGCGCATTAAAGACACCCTCGCGTGTAAACGTCGCCTCATCTGTAAATAGCACATGAGCTATGAAGTTTGACTGCAGCGCACATTGCTGTACCACCAAGGGCGCCGGCAGGGGGGCGCAAGGAGGTGCACTTGCACCCCTCGCTTTTTTTTAAACAATTAAAGAGATACCGAAAAACAATTTAGTTATAAAAAATTTTTATTAAAAATATTTTTATTCAAAAACAAATAATTAAGTAATTATTTGTTTTAATTAATGGAATTTTAATCGTCTTGTTTGCTGTCCAAATCTGTTTATAAATTTTTCAATGAATTCTGAGTCATCTTATCTGAGTCATAACTTATGCGCACTGAGCATGCACAAACTACTTAATCTCTAGTAAGACATTGTAGACTGATTCCATGTTTTGATGCGTCGCATTGTACTAAAAGTGCACGTAGTAGCTGGAAGAGTTAGGCCAATTTTGATTGCCTCCGCTGCAGATGGGTAAAACGGTGTGGCCTCAATTGGCACTCGAATTCTGGGGAGAGACCGGTTTCATGCCTTTGGCCCTTCTCTCTTCTTTCTCCTCCTCTTTTCAGTTGTATAGGAATGTACTACGATATTTTCCCTTTTCTTAATATTTTACCTTTTCATTTAATAAAGATATTTTTTAAAATTTCCGTGATGCTTTGCTTTAGAACTATGTTTAATGTAGTGTTCAGTTCCATATAGTTTTCCAGCTTAAAAGATTTTAATCCACATGAAAATCAAGAGAGAAACTAACGTACTTCCTTCCTCTATGACTCTCCATACGATGATGGGGAAAGCATGTGAAGTGTTGCCATAGGTAGAGAGTTCTGCTCTACGCCACCTGCCACAGCCCACTTCGATCGCCAATAACTAAATCGATGTATTCGAGGGATTCGAAAGAATTTCTCTATTTCTCCACATTTTCGTACCACGTTGTAGCTTCAGTGATGAAATTCGATGAGAGCAGATCTTTATACATATTATATACGTGTCTTCTAAAACTTCAAGATGTGACGCTTTGTCCATTTTGCTCATTGCATTCGGATGAAGCTGTAAGAGTGAAAATGCTTTTCTTTGTGTAGAAGAAAAACGGTCTTTCCACGAAGATATAATAGAGTCCAAATAAGGAATAAAGATTGATTTCCTGAAAAATTCTTTTGCGTTTTCAGAAGGCACATTCGATCTATAAACTTGTCTAGATGCCCCTCGAGATCGATTCATTTCAATGCCTAATTCTTCGCAAATATGTTCTGCTTTCGTGAAAATTACAGTAAACTCTTCAGAAGCATTGTTTTGATGAGTTTGCAGCACATCTATCAATTTGACTACGTAATCAGTTACTTCTTTTAGATCTGTGTTTACTTTTTGCAACTGATGACACACAGGTTCAAGTTTGGCAGAATAAGTAGCAATAACAAAAAGTGAAACAATGTATGTTGGCGTTGCAGCAGCTGATAAAAGTATATTAGCTTTCACTTTGGTGTTTTTGTTTGCCGCTTTTTCTCTAAGGTCCTTAAAAGCTTTTAAAATTGTAACGAACTTTTCAGAAAATCGTCTGATACTCTTGTACTTTTCCGACCAGCGTGTTTCACAGATTTTGGCAAAATTTGCAAGTACAAGAAATTGTACCTTTTTATAAATATTTTGTTAACAATGAAGAAATGAATTTTGAAAAAAATTAACAGATGAAAGTATATGTAATAACAAAACAAAATGTAATAATAGAATATTTTGTAATTTTTTTTTATTTGGGGGGGGGAGGGTTGCACCCCCTTTAATATTTTTCTGCCGGAGCCCTTGTGTACCACCCACTTTCTGAAGTTCAGACGGAGAGGACATCCTGTCAGATTCAAGGCTTGTACTCCCTGAAAATGGAAAAGGTGTATGCTATTTTCATCTAACACTCTACAAATAGTCTGATCACTCACACTTACGCTCTTGGACTCGGGCCTATCAGCCGCAACGTTTAAGAGGCTTTCTTCCAGGCTTCAAGTGCGTAATGCTCTTTGTCGATCAGTTTCATGTCTGGTGACGTGGAACGAACCTGTTTCACTATGTTGACGATGTAACCGCTGAAAAATTCTGCAATCCGGTATTGGTCGATCAGGAAACTGCGCGTGATAATTAGTTGCGCAGTTCCGCCGTTACCATTTGCACGGCCGTCTGCTTTTTCAGCATACGTTAAGTCTCCCCTATTGTGATGCATCATGTTGAATGGCTGATCTACTATACTCTACTGGCAACTCCATTTCTTTTTTATTTCTCCTATTTATGCCTCACTTGAGGTCATACATTCCTATACAATAAATAATTGTCACAATGACTTGTACCTACCCATAAATTTTGTACCATGAAATTGAGATCGCACTGTATATATTGATAAGCAGTTAATAGACTACTGTTAAATTTCTTTGGTACCACTACTTTTTTCCACAATTTATTATTTGTTTTCTTGGTAATTATTTTACAATAAAAGTTGTTTTTGGCCCTTTTGAGACACTATCTAACCCCTCAATAATGAGTACTCGGTTGCAGTGATCCTACCCGTTTTTTAACTTATGTTATTTCATAAACTTATGATGAGCAACTAAGTTCATTCGATTGTTCATTTATAGTGGACACATTTTGCAGGTATAAATGTTAAAACTTTTTTTAATCTGTGTGATAATTTCAGAAAAACGTAACTTTTAATTAAAAACTAAGTAATAAATGATATAAAGGAGTGTTAAATATTTCAGAAAAGATTCCAAAAAAGAAAAAAAGAAAGAAAAAAAAATAAGAAAAAATAAGAAAAGGGATTCCAAAAAAAAACAAGCACATCAAAAAGTGAATCGGTTACTCAGAAATGCCAACTTTTAAATGCAATTTGCTTCAAAATTCAGAAAATAAAAAAGATAAACATAAAATATTCGAAATCTAATGTCTTAAAAATTCGTTATAGGGAAAATTTCACTTCGAAATATGTAGACCATTTTGAATGTTATTAAACGATAAAAATAAAAGTCATTTTTTTACAGATTCAAGTTCTGCATTAAGTAGTGAATCTTGTTATTAAAACATTAAAAAAAATTAATAACAATTTCATAATAATAATAAGATTCTACACTGAAGCAAAGAAAGAATAATTTTAAATTACAACAAAAATGTTTACGAGTTTTTCAAGCACATCATGTTGCTCTTAAAGTTTCTAAATTAAATTTATCATATGGGTCAGCTGAGGAAAAAAAAAAGATTTTTAATGAAAAGCATGCTATTCAGATCCATAGTGTGACATTTTCAATAATAAGTAACGATAACAAATAACATGATAACATTTATCACCTCAAGACAAATATTTCATTATAGAATATTAATGTATGGTATAATTTATGTTACATACATTATATTTTATAACATAAAACATTAAAAGAAACGCGAAGAAACATTTAAATGAAGCTATAAGTAGGTACAATGCATTTAATGTAGATTGTTTTAGTTTAATTTTATTATAAAAGAGTGCATCACATGTGAAATACTGAACTGAGAGAAATAAAAATAACCTAATCCGATAAGTATCGATTTCAAACTTTTCTTTTTTCCATTCTTTGGTGACTATCAGAATTTATCAAGGAAATTAAACTGTGATTGCAGTATCACTCAATTAGTTTAAGTGATACTCAGAATTTATGAATTCAATACAATAAATATGGCTAAAATTTATAAATATGACAATGTCTGCAACATTTGTCCAAACTTTGGAAGAAATAATATCATTTATAAATGAATGAAAAGTGAAAAAACTGACATTTCACGTTAGTAAATGTACAAACTTCTGCCATGCTACAAAATATAGTAGAATGAAATAGAAATACTACGTCACTGATTACGTCGACAAAAGATCCAATCAAAATTTCGTTTTTGTTTGAGTAGTGGTAAGGATAGGTATTATGCTTCCCGGTACAAACAAACAATATCCGTGAAATGAAAAGTTTTTACCAAAACAATGATATTCGCTCGGGGCCGTGCAGCTTTTGCGTGTTTTATTTAAAACAACCGATATTCTCGACGCACAGTTAGCAAAACAATTTTACAAATAAATTCTCATTCTTTCTTCTGCAATGATACGGGGAACAATGGTAATTACTGATTGATTTTCAAAAACTGCCCCCGTTTCATAAATCGTCATGTACTAATTACTTTATTTCAGATTTAATTTCTCCATTTAATGTATGTACCAAATTTTATAACTTTCTATTAAAACACAAAGATAGTAGTTTTAATTGTAACGGACAGTAATGGAATTTTGACGACCATTTAGTATTTGTAATTATTTCAAGCCTTTTAACTACTGCTTGTTTATTTTATCTTTTTAGAGAAAGGTTGATAAATATTGGCCGGAAGAATTTGAAAAGTATGGTAATATTACAGTGACTTTGATTTCAAAACACGAATTTGAAAAAATGCATCATGTTGTACGGACATTTTCTGTAACAAAGGTAATCATAATTCGCAATCATTTTAAAATGCTCTTTCCCAATTAATCTTTTTTTTTTTTTTTTTACAGTTTATCATGAAAAAGTATATAATAAAAATATAATAGTAGTCAGACAGTTTTTTACACTTTTTTATTGGTCGGAAAATCACATGGCAGGATCAAATTTTCCCTCGTTGACTTTCATATTTTTTCTATTGTCATCAGGATAAAATTAATAAAACTCACTCAAGTACAGGGTTATGCAAATGCTGTAAGTCTGTTATCATTGTATTAACATTAATTTCATTTAATAATAGTTCGCGGATCATATCGATGAAAGTACAATATAGATACGCATAAATTGTGTTTTTCTAGTTTTATGGATGAAAACGTCAATTTGTTTTTCTGAAACTTGTTACTTTCCTGATTTATGAATAAAAACGATAAATGTGGCTCATCATGCTTCCTTCATTTATAGCAGATTGCAGGCCTGTTACTTATCAGGAAAATATTAAATGCCAGCAGTAAAAAAGTTTTTTTTTTTATTTGGAAGAAATTTACTACCAGTAACTACTATTAACTGTAACAATGTGTATTTAATTGGAAGAAGTTTAACAAATAAATACATATCTTAAAATTTAAGGTATAAAATAACTGTAATCAGACATAGTTAAAATTCCCGAGCGATATTTTCAATAGTTACTTTCTTTAAAACTGCATATGCTTTTTATTCTCTGACTAATTTTTTAACTTCTAAACTGTTAAAAGGCATTTCTCGAGTCTGCGTACAAGAAGCAATTTCTAGAAATTTTGTAAAAATAAGTTTTTCGGTCAATAATCTGCACTTATTTTCTTCTTTCTGAAATGTACATAAATAACGTTAGCCTTAATTATTTTCATTTAAATGTATAACATGTTAATACCAGTCTTTCAGCAAAAAGATTTTTTTATTTCCTATGAGCTGCACAATCTGTCTTGCCGATGAGCAGACTTAGTGGGTTCCCCAGAGGCGGTATCCACTCTTTCAGGACCACCACAATGGGTGAGATACCGTTGGTCATGTTAAGTTGGACGTCTAGTTGGATGCTAAAGTGCACTAGGAATTTAATTTTGCCGAAATTGCCAAAAGTCAATAAGGCACTCCAGGGATCTTTTACATGCCGCATAATCATACGACATGGCCGCTGAGGATTTTCTGCATCCAGTTAAAAGATAGAAAAATCTGTTTAACGAGTTTATAAAAAAAAACAGTTCGTTAACATTTTCATTCCTTTTCTAAATCATTAATATTGTAAACTATATTATCTAGTGTGAGCTCTTTTAAAAAGTCTTGTTTTTAACAACACATAGTAATAGTGTCAAAAGAACGTGAGGGAAAAAAGCTATAAAATATCATTATCCAGGCTGTCATTTTCCTGACACTGAATGCCACGAAATAATTGAAAACTACAAAATGTCTGCAAACTACACAGTTCTCTATAAAAGTATTAATTAGCTTAACTAAATTAATAATTGAAAAAACAATTCCGAAGATTTTAACTTGAAATTTTTTTCTGATAATTACCTTATATATGTTTATTTCAAAGCATACAATATATATTAATAATTTAAGGGCGATATTATTAATTTAAGGATAAAATTTCAAAGGCTCAAAGATGAAATGAAATTTGAAATTATTGAAAAATAGAAGTGATAAACAGTGTAGATGATACACTGTAAAAAATTTCGGATTAAATTATCGTTCTAAGTATTCAGCGAGCCAGTACTTTTTATTATAAAATCTATTTTAACCGGAATACGTTAGGGCAGTGTTCCCCAACCTTTTTATCACCGCGGACCTGTCAACGTTTGATAATTTTACCGCGGCCTGCTGAGGGAGGGGGGAGTTGATTGTTTATATTTTAGATTATTTTTATTTATTAATTTAATTTAATTGTATTTAAACATGCCTTCAAAATAAAATACAGTTTCAAGAAAAAATAAATATAAAATTATTTAACATTTTAACTTACTAGAACGTTAAATCAATCAGAACCTTGAGCTTGTTTCTTTGCAATGAGACGGTTTCATCTGGGGGTAATCGGAGACAATGATACTTTACAAACATTAAAAAATTTATGTCACTACCTTCGGGGGTTCCTTTTTTTAAATAAATAAAATTTTAATGGAACACAGATATTTTTTATTTTGGATATATACCTAGGAATTTGAATTCAGCTTCAATAAAATGGACGGCCCGGTACCATTTGATCCACGGACCAGTACCGGTCCGCGGACCGGAGGTTGGGGAACACTGCGTTAGGGCACAAAAAAACCTGAAACACCGTAATTTTTGCAGTGATAATTACAGCAAAATCACTGAATGACTCTAATTAAATAAATATTTCTGTGAAAAAGGATTTTACAGTAAAATAGATTTTAAGGATGATGTACCTAAAGTGTTGGTGATCCAAAGTTTTTTTTTTTTGCAGTGTAACAACCAAACTAATTTTCAATCAAGGATATAAGAAAAGCTTTTTCGAAATCTAAAAAATCAATAACGAAAAATTTTGGCTTAAAAATATCGAAACCCGTTTGATTGCTTAAAAAATTTGAGAAAGGTCAAGACCTTTTTTTTCAGCAGTCGCCGTGGTTTTTGCTTTTTAGACCCCTTTTCCTCAATAAATATTCACCCTATCTTGATAAACTTTTTTCATCTTTCTTTGCTTCATCAATTTTCAACGCCTAAATTATTTACTTTAATTCTGAACACTCTGTAAAGTCGTAATAAATACAAACCTATAGAAAAAATGTTAGATATTGCTTTATGGACTGTAGCACAACTTTTAACGTATGATAAAAAATCTCAAAATTTTTGCGTAATATAGAATTCTATAGTTTTTGAAATTTTGGAATAAATTGTTTTATCTTATTAAGCGAATTATTTGTATTTTTAGGAAGGTGAAAGCACTTCTCGCAGTGTACGTCACTTTCATTACACTGGCTGGCCGGATCACATGGTTCCTACGGAGACATTGCCACTAGTTGCACTTATTCAACAAACCCGGAGATACAAACCTGACAACAAAGCTCCCATTGTTGTTCACTGCAGGTAAAGAATATTTTGTTGTGATAGGGTCGTTCTAATAAACCCCATGGACGCAATAGAATCTCGCTTCAATGGTTGTTAGTGGGTGGGTGACCACTCTGATCAGGTCTGCGAAGATACTCTCCTCGTTAAACTCTATCGCAAAGTGCTCGGCTTCAAGTACAGAAACAGGGGCCATTCCCAGGTGAAGACTAAATTTTAAAAATAATCAGATCATGTGCCATAAACTCAAATTTTTTTTATTCGTGTTTTGATATAAATTATATTATTCGAATTTTAGATGGCACACTGAATCTAATGTTTTGATTTATATATTAAATTTCCATTTTCCTGTTACAAAATAATATACACTGAAAATAATACATTTTGAAAGAAACTCTTTTATATACTTGAAATCACTATCAAAGATCTGCTTTTTTTTTTTTTTTTTTTTTTTTTTTTTTTTTTTTTTTTTTTTTTTTTTTAACGAAGCTATTGACGTTTGAACTTGAGCCAGTATTATCTAAACGTGTGAGCTCCAAGAAATTCAAAAGTTGCGAGGCCCCAGAAATTCAAAAGTTGCGAGACCCCAGAAATTCAAAAGTTGCGAGGCCCCAGAAATTCTNAAAAAAAAAATTTGAAGCAAAGAGAACAATAAATGAAGCGAATTTTGTTATATACATAATAATTGAAAAAAAAGAAGCAAAAAGAAAACAAATAAAGAAAATGTAAACGAGGACGAAATGTATAATGTAGGACAAAATCAAAAACTGTTAAACACTATCAAGATTACAGAAAAAGTCAGGTTTAATTAAAATTTTTATAAGGAGTCGTTTTCTGCTAGAAAATTCATTACGTTAATTAATTTAGAGTTTAATGTTTTATTTGTAAGAATTTTTTTTTTGCCAAATATGTAAATTATTAATGTTTGAAAGTCGTGTATGCCATGATATTGTGTAAAGACAAGTTGATAAGTAATGCTCTGGTGTACCTGGTTGACCACAGGTACAAAGGTTTGTATCCGAGATATGAAGGTAATGAAAGAAAGAAGGAAAAGGGCCGTGACCTGTTAGGAACCAGATGACTTGTTTAATTGGAATTGAATTAAAGTAGTTGACATTATTGATGATGTTAAACAGACGTCTTCCTCTATCGGAATTATTCCATTGGTTTTGCCAATTACTAGATAAAGATTTTTTAAGAGATTGTTTTAGGTGTGAAACAGGGAGAGGAAAGGAATAATTTTTAATGCTTTGTGTTGCTTTTTTGGCCAATTCGTCCGCTCTCTCATTACCTTCTTTATTGTTATGCGCTTTAATCCAAGAGATTTGAATCGCGGTGTCCATTAGTGCATGTTGAATGTCTTTGGTTATGAGGTTAGTTGATCCTGCGTCTTTAATTGATGTTATTGAGGCTTTAGAGTCTGACCAGATTATGTAATTTATTTGTCTGTTAAAGTTTGAGTTATTTTTGATGTGTTTTACACATTCTAATATTGCCAATTGTTCGGCCTGAAAAATAGAGTTGTTAATATCCAATGTGAAGGTTTGTGAATGAGCATTGTTAAGAAATGCGAATGCAGTGCCTGTTTCAGTTTTGGAACCGTCTGTGAAGAAGTTGGTATCTTTTCTAAAGTCGTAGTTACCTTGCTCAGTTAAAGAGATTTTGTTTTTTATATAATAAGATGGGTGATAAATTGGCACTTTTAATTTATTTTCATAGTCCTGATGATTATAACTTATCTGATGGAAGAATGCATTTTTTTTAATTTGAGTTAATGTTGTTGAGCATGACAAGAGCATAATCTGGTCTGGAAGGGGGGGAATATTTGTTAAAACATGAAGAGCTGCCGTGGGGGTAGAGTGGTATGCCCTGGTCATATTCAAAAGGAATTTGCGTTGAATCGAAATTAAGGTTCTAGATATCCGGGGTGAGATATTTTTTGCCCAAATATTGCAACCGTGTGCTAGAGAGGGGACTATTACTGTGTTATAAATGAGTTTTCTTGCTTTTTGATTTATTCCCCAAGATTTATTATTGATTTTGTAAAGAGAATTGAGAAGAGTGTTTGCCTTTTCTTTAAGGATATTGACATGAGGACCCCAATTCAATTTTTTATCGATTACAACTCCAAGGTACCTAAAATGATTTGTTTGCTTAATTTTTTCGTTGTTAATTTTGAAGATTGCACCCCTGTTAGTGTTGTAAAAATGTATATAGGCTGTTTTATCAATTGAAAGAGTTAAAGAATTGTTGGTGATCCAATTGTGAATACTATTTAGAGTTAGATTCGATACTTGTTCTAACTGCCTCCTAGAGTTGGCATATGTAAGAATTATCAAGTCGTCTGCAAAGGCTTGTATTATGGAATTTTCAAACTGCATTTTCAAAAGGTTATTAATTACTAAATTCCACGCAGTCGGTCCTATGCAAGACCCTTGTGGGCAGCCTTTTTGAATTGTTTTTGTTACATATCCCCGATTTGTTGCTAAGATGGCTTGCCTGTTCGTATTGATGCTTTCTATTATAAAACAAAGATTGGATGGGACTTGGTACATTGACAATTCTCTATTAATTAGATCATACTGGATATTGTCAAATGCCCCTTTGATGTCGAGCGATATTGCGGCGACGTGTTTGTGATTATTTTTTAAAAGTGATAGGTTATCTTTGAAATTTTCTAGAGCTATATTGACCGATTTACCAAATCTAAAACCGTATTGTAAATCAGACAGTGCGTTGAGTTTCTCTAAATGAAAAGTTAGTCTCTTAACGATTAATTTCTCTAGGAATTTACCCAAACAAGGAAGTAGTGTTATAGGACGATATGAAGATAAAACATTGGGATTTTTGCCTCTTTTAAGAAAAAGTAAAACTTGCCCTTTTTTGAAATGGTCAGGGAAGACTTCCAGAGTGAGACATTTGTTGAAAAAATTTAGGATAAGTGGACCGAAAAACATGAATAAGTTTTTTACAATTATATAATCAATGCCATCTATGCCTGGTGCTTTTTTGTTGTTTAGTGTTCTAAGAAGACGTTGAAGTTCATTGTGGTTGAAGGGAGGATCTGGATTTTTATTTTGATAGCTGTATTTGTTTTGTTGGATGACATTGTCATCCGGGAAAAGATTATGAAGAACATTCTTGGCCTCTTCTATTGGACAGTTAGTGTCATAAATCTGAGTTAAGATGGTCGGATAGGAGTTTGTTTTAAAAGATGACTTATAATGAGCTCCATGGGGATTTTTAATGCTTTCACAGAGATATTGCCAACTATTGTACTTTGCTTTGATAATTAGTTTTTTGTATTGTGCTCTTTTTTGCTTGTAAATAGCTTTATATTTTTTAATTTCTTCATCAAAATTTGATCTCTGAAAACGTCTTTTAATTGCTTGTAATTCTTTTTTGTGGATTGAAAGTTGTGCTGTCCACCAAGAAGTGTTTGTAGGACGATTGAAAAGTTTAAGTTTGTAGGAGTTTTTGCAGCTTAAGAAAATTTTACTAATGAGATTATTTGTAAAAATATTAAGATCCATAGGATTTTGTACGTTGTCTAGTTCAATGTTTAGATCTGGAATAAAGTTCGAGAAATGTTTTTTAAATTTATTATGATTTCCAAACTTAGTTTTAAACCTTGTGAAAGAGGAGAACGTATACTTGTTATTGATTTGTAATAAGATATATTTGTGGTCTGAATTACTTTCTATATCCAGAACATTCCAATTAGAAAAAGTTAAAATATCTATGTTATTTGTAAGAGTAAGATCTGGAAAAGATGAGGTTAAAGATGTTACGAAAGTCGGTAATGCTGGTTGTGAATTTAAAATTTTTAAGTTGTTGGATATGATAAAATCTAACAATACTTCTCCCCTTGCGTCGTTGTTTGAATAACCCCAGAAGCTGTGATGTGAATTGAAGTCTCCACAAATTATTGTTGGATAATTGTAGAAGTTTTTGTTACTGTAGTAAATTAGATCTTTCATTAGATTCAAGTCTGTGTCTGATGGAGAATTATAAAATGAGATTAGGATCAAGGGTGAATTATTTGAAGAGTTTATTGATATCGAAACAGAATCTTGAAGAGAATCTATCTGTAGGGGGCTTATTGATTTATTGGGTATAAAAATGACGGATTTTCCGTTTACTGAAGAAAATAATTTCCAGGAACTTGGATATCCAATTATGGAATCTTTTGGTTTGTATAGTTCCTGAAAACAGATTATGTCAATGTCAAGATCAACAACAGTTTTTTGCAATAAAAAGATGGCGGCTTTGCTTCTTTGAAGATTTATCTCTAATATATTAAGTTTATAAAGGTCGGTAGAGATTGTGAATTATTTAATATCATTAACGTAGGGATTATCCATTAGGTAAATTTAGAAAGAAATTCACAAATAATATATAAATTATATTGGGAAGCTTAAAAGCGAAATAATAAGAGAAAAGAAGAGGGAAAAAATATATCTATATAAAAAAATGAAGTTATTTTTTCTTTCTCCATAAAAAAAGAAAAAAAAAGAAAGAGTTAAAATAGTGAAAAAAGTTAAAGTGGATTAAATTATAGAAAAATAAGAGGGGTAAACATTGTAAAAATGAAATGTGAAATACAAAAACAAAAATATAAAAAGTAAAAGTTTGAAGAATGAAAAATCAGTGTTTGACCTATTGGCCGGAGCGTAGTTGTTTGAGTCTTTTGAGATAATAGGGACAGGTAGGCGAGGAAGCGGCATGAGCACAGTTGAAGTTGGTTCCATCATCATAGTTCGAATCACTACAATTTCGGCAGAATTCATCTTTGGAAGTACACTGGTTGGATGTGTGTCCATTTACGCCGCAGCGGGCACAGGTACTGACATTGTACTCACAATTATTTTGGTGATGACCAATTACTTGGCACTTTCTGCATCGAAGAAGGATGATACGTTTCTTGATGAAGAATTTCTGAAGACCAGCATAGAAAGTCTGTTGCTTCAGTAGTCTTTGAGATAGGCGATGGGTAGCTCGGATGACTAGATGCTGCTTAT